AAAAAAGAAAAAAAAAAAAAAGAGGAGCAAAGGGGGAGAAGGAGAGGAATCGGCACGGCTGACTGCTCAGCAGGCTGCTGGGAGCCAATCAATCTTCTGAGAGTGAGTGAATAAACAGAGGGTGATAAATGCTTTTATTCAGAGAGGAGAAATGTTTTGCATGGCATGATTTATGGAGCTCAGCAGACTATCAAACTCATTAGGCTCTGTGTGTTCCCAGAGGAGGAGGAGGAGGGAGTGAAGGAGGAAGAGGAGGCCGGCTGGCAGTTGGAGCCATCCGTCCCCAGCTCCCTCACTTGCTCAGCCAGCGCTCCCCTCCATGTCCCTCCTCCCAGAGTCACGGGGGTCTTGTTTTCTGTGTGCACACGAGTGCACTGCTACTGCTGACCTGAGAGGGCGTTGTGCTTGTTCACCATGAACGCCACTCGACACCCTCCGACCCTGGCCTGATCTCACACAGCCTGCCAAGTCTGAGTGTAGAGCATCCCAACACAATGGTCCTCTGGAAGCAGGACTTTGGCTGCAAGATGCATTTTACAACTCCCTCTATACAAACACAATCACAAACACACACCAAACGCTCCCAGCCTGAGGACCAAGCGTGGCATGAAGCCTAGAGAGGATGCCCACTGCCTCACCAGCTGTCTGGTCCGACATACTCCACAGCCCTCAGACCAGACAGGGTCTAAGTGGAGAGTCTGGTGAACGAGGATGAGAAAAAACCTCACTGGAGACAAGTGTTTGCAGAGGAACTTCTAGTAAACTACTAACAAAATAAAAAAAAAATCTGTGCTGGATTCTTTGTTTTGGAGTTTCTCCTGTACTTTAGGACACCTGCAAGGTTTTAGAAATATTTCTTCAAAGAAATTCCTACATTCAAAAATACTTTTCTATTGGCCAATCTGTGAAAAATAAATATAATAATTAAATGGAGGGCGTGTGTTCATTTTCCCATCACTCACTAACATCACTCTTAGCTATATAGATATAATTCTGCCTCTGAAGAAATCCCACAACATTCACACACGCCTCTAGATGTCACTGCAGAGACAATGTTCTTTGGGTTACAGCCTCTTTCTCTCTACAGCCAGTTCAGTTGCATCTGAAATAATTTTCTTTCTCCAAGTTGTTTTTAGCTATTTTTCTCTCACACCATTATGAGAGTTAATTTAATTACATTTTCAAAATTAAATTTGGATCAGAAAAAAACAAGCTTCTGATGAGCAGCATTAGAAATGTAAAAAAAAAGTTAGATTAGAGCTGCATAATGTAAAACCTTTGAAGGTTATGTCAACTTTAGCAAACGCCCTCAGTGTCATCACAGCAGAATTCCAAAAAGATAAATTTGGGAATGGTCCAGGCTGAAACAGGTGCTGCCCACAGGGTAAACAGCTACTGCAGCAGCCTAATCACTGCAGATTAGATACAGAGGCATGAAAACAGAAAGGTGTGTGTGATGAGTGCGATCACACGGATCCCTCTGCATCAGTAGTTAATAGGAGGTGCTGAGGGCGGTGGTCACCCTGACACGTCAGAGGGCTGCGTTATCACAGCCCAGCCAGGAAACCCAGATGGGGATCAGGCAGGAGGCTAGTGAGGCCCGTCCCCTGACAAAACAGGGCAGACAGCGGGGTCACCAGAGACCCTTACACCACACAGACCTCCAGATGGTGACAGAGGGACCAATCAGCTGCTACCCAATAACTAAAAGACTCTCCTGTGCTCCTCCTCCTCCTCTTCCTGAGTTCTTCCCCCTTGTTCCACCTCCCTCCCTCCTCTAAGGAGAGAAAACAGAAGGTGCTGGGACTGCATCATTGCCTCCATCACTGCGATAATTTACACATCTATCTTGTCATACTCTCTCTTTTTTGCACGCTGTTGCCATCAATCTCACCATGCTTGGTCTGTGCAGCTGAGACACCAAAAAGAAGTGCAGGTACTTATTTTAAATGACACCAGTTTGAAAGAAGTCACGTTTTTTTTTTCTCTTTCTGGGAAAAGCCTGGGGAAGTGGAGGGTGACCGGCACCAGAAAACTTCACCAAATCAGGTCATGTTTTTTTTTTCTCCATCTCCCAGGTTCTGTGACCTGTGTGCAGGCACAGTTGACAGATTAAAAAAAAAGAAGCTTAATCTCCAAAGAGCCACAAGATGGCGTAAGCTTTCATCTCAACACAAAGGAGACCCTAGAGACCAAACTGAGCAGAGCTTCACTTTCTTTGACACTGGGTGAGGTTAGAAACCTCACTGAGTTTTCTTGACAAATGAGGGTTGAGACATGAATGACGGAGTCGAGCGGTGACCCTTCGTTTACTGTGATATTGGCTGAGAAGCCACAGGACAGGGCTGGTAGATGGATGACTCTGCTAGTGATGGATGTTCAACCACTCCTCACCACCGCCACACTGGTGACCCAGTTATGGAATCTAATCTTACAGCCACACAAACCAAACTTGTTACAACGACTACAATTGTTGTCTTAATTATTCTGAATACTTCAATATATCAATATAAAACAAACTCAACATTGTTCCCGGAGAAATAAGTCACTCCCAACATCTCAGTCCTATGTATTTCTACAAATGCTTTCATACAAACCAAACAGTTATTTCCACAGTCATTTTAATGACATGAGTTTGGTCGATTGACATAACTTGTTTAATGTGGAAAGACAATTCATGTACACCAGGGGTCACCAACTATTTGTCAGAGGAATTTTCCTAGACCAACACTTTGGGGACCTCAAAAAAAAACAAAAAAAACAAACAAAATTAAAATCACGTTTCTGTCTAACATTATTATTTCATGTTCACTTTGGAATCTAGTCGTGGGCCGCACTGGACGAGTCAGTGGGCCAGGTTCACCCTGCAGGTTGCTAGCTTATGATCGCTGTTTTACACAGTCGTCCAAAGAACACCGGCTAAATAAATTAACATCAGACAAACAATTCCACACTTTCCACAGTTTCATTTTCGCTTACTGAATCCCTCAATATCTACTTTTTAACAAGTCTACAGTAAGATGAAGCTTCATCTCCTCTTCTCTCTGTGCCGTCTCCAGACTCACCATCACTAGTCTGTCTGTTTCTTTTCTTTTCTAAGTCATGATTTATATCTGTATCTGTGAAAATGAAAAACCAACTTTTTACCGAGGCTCAAATTGTACGTCATGACTGGATCCAGACAAAGAATTATCTGTGCAATAATTAATCAACAGTTTAATGCGGACTTCACTGACTATACAGATTATGTTTTGGCAGCAGGAGTAGTAAATTGGAACAGTTTTCACAGCAGACGCCTCCCTTCCTGCCATAACTCTGTCCAACTGGGTGAGGACTTGGAAAGAGATTTGAAAAATCCAACCTAGAAAAACAGTGTCCCATCACGGTGGTTCAGAAGAATATTATAGACCTCCTCAATAATCTCCTCATAAAAATAGGTAAATGTAAAATGGACTTGCTCTGTATAAAGGCACTTTCTGTTTTGTTTGATACACAAAAACAGAGAAACCAGCTCCATTTGTCAAGTGCTGATTGTGAGCAGACAAACCAGCCTGTCTGCGCCCAGATAGCGGGGCCTGCTGTTATTAATCACAATTACAGAGTGGGCCTCGCACACAGGAGCAGCATCAATACCCCCCCCCCACGCACTCGGTCACCTCCCCGTGCTGCTCGGGGTGGCCAGGCCACCGTTTGGAGGTCAGAATACAGCCGGTGATAACGGCTGCATCATTTACCCCGGGCCGCCGCCTCCTCCTTTTTATTAGCAATCTTTTAATTTTGAACCTGTCCCCGCCTTCAGGAGAAATTGTGATTTAATATCACAGCTGATTCACTGCATACTGTTTTTGACAGCTGTGATGAATAGCCTGAAGTGATGTATGAAAACAGCCAGGCGGATGGCAATATAGATAAGGCAGCCATTTCAGTTAGCCTGCGATGGGGCGCGGAGAGTTGTTTCATACCCTACACCACCTCCCCCTTCTCTGCTCACATTTCATTTGGTCACTGCTGAAATGAACAAACAGCCGAGTCAGAAGCATTCATCCGAGCTGCAGGGAGATGTTCTGCACACGTGAGAGACGCAATGAAACATGTCTGACCAACAGATCGGCAACACGGAAGAATAAACTGAGACAGCTCGCCAGGCTGTCGCTGCCTTTCACAAAAAAAATGTCATTTCAGAGAAGCTGCAAATGTAAATAGTCCATTTTATAAAACTGTCAAAGTGACACCGCAGTATCATGCTCAAGCACATAAAGAAAAACAGACTTAATAGGTTTAGCATGAAGTACCTCCATGATGATGTGACAAGCTTCCTCCATTGGCCAGGATTTCTTCTCTCGCTGCATGCTGGGAAAGACAAAATAAAACCACACTTACAACTTACTACGGTATTTTATGTTTCATAAGTAAAGTACACATCACTAAAAATATACCATCACATCATGTGTACCTGTATACAATAAAGACAACACCATGAGCCATAGTGAGTGTGGGCTGCTGCACACTGGGTCACAGAACGGGTAAATCACATATTTAAAATATTGGCAAAACATGTGCTAGCAGCAACAAGCTCACAATGATTTAATTTATTTTTGCTCTCCTTAAATTAACTGTATAAAACTTTTGCCTGAAATAAAAACATTTCTGGTTTCTAAGAAACTAAGCGGTACCAAAGTGACTGTACTCATGGGTACCTAGTAAACAAACTCCTTTAATGAATTTCTTAATTACAATTCTCCATTTACAACCGAAGACATAATGCTGTTGAATTGTGGACTCACCTCCACTTGTTCATACACATGTACTGGATCACTGAGTCCCCTGTAGTTAAAGGCAAAGTAAAAGTAGATGCAGGCACCGGCATCGTACGTCTGGGTCACCCTGGACACAACAGTAAAGCTGTCTTAAAAAAGCAAAACTTCATAATAACGCAGCCAAACAATGTCTTTTAAAGTCAATTTGACAACAACTAAAGTAGAAATTATGTCCAAGTTTATTTTTAGTTAAGACATTTTTTATGAATCAGTGTCTGAGTATATATTTAAATGTTTTTCTTTTGTTTGTATTTTTGTGTTGGGCCCTTGCTCCCTGTGGAGGCGCAGGGTGCAGGGCCCTTGTTCATTTGACATGGCCCATCACCTGGCACACTGACTCTCCTGGAGGTTAAATGGACAAATCAATCATGTGACAGACTGCAGCCGGGAAATGAATGGCTGTAGCATAATCAGGCTGTGACCTAATCGGTCCACAATCAGCCAGCAGCAGCCTGGTGCTCATCGACTGGCTCCCCGTATGTCAGACTGTTTGTCTGTCTGACCGTTCTGTGTGTGCATGTGAGAACTTGAAATATATTTGCCAATTCACAAAGGTAGGAATCCATAACAGAAATCAGTATAAAATGTAACACAAAACATCAGTAAATAATCAAACAGCTGTTATGAAAGTGAGCAATAAAAGAGATATAAATACTAATAATTTAACATTCTTAGGTTACATTTTCTTCTAGATTTTATTAATTTTAAGTCATGACATTCTCAGACATTAAATTAACAGACATTATTAGAGAAGAACATGTGAAATTCGAAAAATT